CAAAAAACAAATTTTAAATGCTTATAAAAAAAATATTGTCTATGTTTATTTTTTAACACGAGTTCTCTTTGGGGCCCAGAATTCATATGTATGACATAAAAAAAATAAAAATAAAAACTGCTATTATTAGAACTCATGATGAATCTTCTATTCAATTTTCAAATTATGGATATAAATAACTCAAAGTGAGTAAAAACATATTATTGTGAACATTTTAAGTATCGATGGTTTTTTTTTTAGGGTTACACAAAAAACCTGACTTCTAATATTATAAAATGCAATTTGTTTTAGAGAAAATACTTTATTTGAAAAGTTTCTAGAATAAAAGGATAACAATTATATTTAGATTTAAGGTTTTCTTCAATTTCATTTAGTTTAAGATATTATAATGATTTTTTTTTAAAGTTTTGGGTAATTTTAAATTTCTATCGGTATTAGTGATAATTTAATGGTTAGAAATTATGTTTATATTGATTATTACTTAAAATTACTTTTTTTTAAGTTTTGCAAGCAATAAAAATAACATAGGTAGTTAATATTTTTAGGTATAATACCTATATTATACTGATAATTATTTTAAAATAAAAAATTTACCTATAACCATGTTTATAAAATAATTTTACGATACCTACATAAATAATAGGATTTATTTTATTTATACATATAAAACAGAACAATTAATATAAATTTTATTAATGTTCATAAATACATGTATCTAATACATATTTCCTGTAATTATTGTGTTATATTTAAGATGGCGTAGATTATTGAATAAAAAATATTAATATGTACAGCGTATTAAAACAAATATTTAAAATTATTTTTTGTCCATACACTAAAGACTGTTATTTACTGGTTTATGTCAAAAAAATCATAATAAAAATAAAATTCCTAAAAAACCTAATTTTCTTTTCAATTCAAGTGGCTTATTTTTGTGTATTTATCAACTATGACAAAGCTCAACACATAACAGGTGACAATCAAAACTTAAAAAGAAATAGTTAATACCTTTATATACACATGCAGTGGCAGATCTGGGGTTGAATTCTGGAGGCCTTATAAAAAAAGTACTTTTTATAAGAATAATTGTTCTAAATATCATTAGTCTCCAAGCAAGGCTCTTCAGATTCTCCTCCATATGTATATTATGATTTATGGTACCTCAAACCAAAACACTTTAAATAGAATACTATTAAAATATCAGATTAAAAATAAATGATGTATCTATTTTCTATTAAGTTTTAATTGAGACAATTGAGTTATGTGAAAAATTTAAGTTTACTATATTGAAAACTTAATTTTTTATAAATTACCAGCTGTACATGTTGCTAGATAGTTATATCTCAATTTAGTGTACCTTAGTTTACTGGAAAATCTAGTTTATAGGCATCCCACCTTGTAAATTTAACTGAGATGAAAAATCCATTTGTACTTCCCATATTTTCAAATGTAATTAATTATTTTGAGAAAATATGCTAAAAATCATACAAGCCGCTTGGTATGGCCTGCCGACTGCTTAAAATCACAAACATGTTCTAACTGCCAGCAATGGCTGGTACCACAAGTTCACGGACAGATAACCATGATATACATATGTCTAAACCAACCATATTAATCGTAACCTAATGGCCATAGTTGCCGGGCTCATCATCAATAAAAATTCTATTTTATAATTTTATGTATTATTGCTATAAATTATAAAGAAGATATAGGTGACTTTTGTGAGATTTAAAAAAATAATGATTGTTAATTCTCAAATTGGTTATAACTATGGCTCGRATTTCAAAGCAAATGCTTCTTTTTTAAATATGAAATAGAATTATTATACATAAATTTGTTTTACGTCATTCTCATTYCAAATAAACCAATTTATTTTTTTGTGTAAATACTTTTTTCAGTTATTTTAGGTGTGGAATTGGTAATTTATGTTTAATTTGCAATAGTAATAAAAATTTTTTTATTTAATTAAGAAGAAAATCCGGAATATGTGGTATGGACTTAATGATTAAATTGCATGATTTCCTAAAAGTAAAAAATAATTTGTCAGATAATATAGAGTCATTTTCATTACAGAAAATCTTGCCAAATACACAGTAATGAATTATTATTTTAATTTAGATTAATTTTTTTAAATTATAAAATAAAAGTTGATGTTTTGATTATTCTGAAAATTTTATTAAAAACTTTTAAA